TTTTACAGTGTTATAACAATTTAACTTTAGTTCTGCCTTTTTTCTGACACACAGGAGTTATAATTTGCAGATCCACAAGAGGTCCTTAAAAATTGGTGAACCTAAAAACATATATTTTCTTCATATTTTAAGAAAAAACTTCTGGTGAGTATAGTCTCTCTCTCCAATGCAGAAACATTTAAATGACACTTTCCAATGGGTAGATGTGCTCACACTAAACAATCCCTGTTACTATATAGACTGCCAATGTGATGCTTTGACCCCAACATTTCCATTACCCTCGCAGCCTCTCCATTCCCTGTCCTTCTCAGGCTCTCATTCTCTGTTTCTCACTCTCTGACCTGTGAGATTGCAGGTCAGGTTAAGCCCTTTCCACAGCCACTTACTTGGCTTGTATTTGTGACTTGCTGTGTTGATAGCACCTCCACCTTGAATGAGCTAGTTAATACCATGGTAACCTCTCTGATCACATGCTGACTCTCTGCTCATGCCCTGATTGGTTTTACTGATTGTTCTAAAAAGAGTGAGTGACTGACCTGCTGGTAAATCACCTCTGTCCAGCCTTATCTGTCTCATCGTGCTGCTGTCTGGAAAACCAGTGTGTATCAGCAAGAATAACTCATTCCAACACATTGAACCTGTTTTTAATGACTGTAAATCCAGAGTAACACAGTAGTCTATTGGCCTGCAGAGAGTTCAAACTGCCTTACTCTGTTAACTCACTGAAGGATCACAAGAGGATCACACATTACATACAATAATATGTTATAATTGTTATTATAATAAATCAATTAAATTTTGTATAGTGCCAAATCATAACAGAAGCTATCACTTTTCTTATAGAGGAGGTCCTTACAATAATCATGTTCTCGAAATAACTAATTATAACTCAAATTAATGAATCAAAGTGTGTTTTGAGTTCCTTGTATTGTAATAAACATAGCTTCCTTAATGCATAAATATATAAATATTGTGTCTCCCACCCCCCTGTGTGAATGGTGTGCTAATGTGTTTGTCTGTTGTGAATACAAGAGCAATGTGTGGTCTGTGGTCTTCATGGTTCACAGAAGGTTTTGCAGTCCAAGAGTTTAACAGCACCCTCAAGTTGCTCAATTCATTATCTTATCTGTACTCCACATATACAGTATGTTTGCACTTTATTTACCCAATATTGTCTCTTTATTTTTTTATGTGTTTATATTTTTATGTGAACTCTACTACATTTAGTGCATATTGCATAGTGCCTGTTGTGGAAGAAGGATCTCTTCTCTGTTGCTCTTCCTAAGGTTTCTTCCTTAATTTTCCTGCTAAAGAGGTTTGGGCTGTGTAAGACTTGACTTGACTTCAAGGCCACTCTTGTGATTTTAATGATAAATAAAACGTTTTACTCATCCAGAAAAAAACATCTTCTATTTGAAAAAGATATCATGTACTCCAGCATTTGACTTCAGTTTTTCTCTTGCTCTGGGTGGGTCGATCAGCAGACCTTTGTGTGAACAACAGCAGCAATGTCCCAGTTAACCCTGTAACCATCAAGTCTTCAGATCTTCCAGTCTGTTGTTGCTGTAAGACATAACTGTGGTAACATCCCATTATAATGTAAAATGTTGTTAATTGTTAATTCAACTCAGAAAAGGAGGATATAGTACAGACAAGAACGTATAGATATCATATATCATGAGGAAACAGAGTCAGAGACAGATATTATTGCTTCACAGCTTATATATTCATCGGCTTAGTTAATATTTCATAGGGCTCTAAAAACCTCATTCTCTCTAAATTGTCTTCCCTTCTTGGCAATAATAATTTAAATGCAGAGAGCCTCTGAGTGTGTCACCAGTGTGTCAGAGCCCACATGTAAATCATATGTCGATGTGCGCACTTATGTATGCATGTAGGCACTCACATACATGCCATAAAGGCACATACAGCCGGGCGTGAACACAAAGAAGAGGATACAAGCAGAGAGTATACTATAAAAGCACATATTCACGAATGCAGAAAAGTCTTTAGCCTCTACGCTTCTGATGTGCCAATTCTGTAAAATGTAGAGACCACACAGTTTCCCACTTTCTGACAAGCAGTAGTTATTTTCTATCTCCAAATGCAAATGTGACTAGAGGCTTGGCATCTGCCTGAGGGCTCAGTCGGCTGACAGTATGCATTCTGGGGAGTGATCTATTGATCCATATTCAATATCTGCTACACTCTCCTGCTCAGTAAAGTTGGGAGATGAATAAATAAGGAGCAGAACTGACAGTACATACAAGTACACTTGTGCATTAGAAGCCTGTTGGGTGCCTAAATGGTTTACTCGCCTGTTTCTTGTGTAAATACCCTAGACTAAAATTTCTTTAGGCATAATAAATGATAGCAATGCTGCATTTCAGGACAGATGTGTTTCTGTGGCCAGGTCTGATACAATTGAGTGTGGTGTGACAGAAATAAAAAAAAAAATCCACCATTTCAGAGGAACCCCAGGTCTATAACAGGCATTAACACTTCCAAAAATAATAACATAAAAACTATTTGAGAATTAATTAATTTATGAATGAATGTAAAGTCAGGGAGAGAGAAAGGAAAGAGACCAGGAGGAGATGAAGGAGGAGGAGGAGGAGGGGGTTGTCAACAGTAATACATCTTTCATCTCTAACGAGGTCTGAAAGCTACAGAAACACAGACATTGACAGCAACCCCAAGAACACCACTCTCCTCCCTTCACCTTATCCTTTCCACTTCCTGCGTGATGTGTGTCACCTACATCGGTGTAACCCACGCTTTGTACTCACACTTGAGTCTCTGCACACCTGCTGTTCTCCCAAACACAGCTCCACAAGTAGCTCATCTTAATCATGCGTGGAAACTCTTTATTTGGCCAAGCAAGGTTATAATACACTTATACTATTATTACTGTATGGTGTGCTGCTGGAGCACGCCCCGTGAGGCACTGATAGGACAAACCCAACATGCATTTATACAAGAAAAAACAATACACAACGTGATCCCTACAGCAACAGTATGTTAATTTAATGTCAAATAAGGACGCTGTAAACCCGACAGAGAACATCATCACTCTGTAAGTATTATCACATCGTTTATTCTAACAGTGGTGCAAATAAATCTTTAATATTTGAACGGAAAAAGACAACCTTTGATTAAACTATTAAACAGATGTAGTCATTTGATTTGTAAAAAGGTCACATGCAGGATGGGACGGTGAATCGG